GACCACAGTAATCACACTTGGAGAAAGAGAATGAAGTTGTTTCAAAAACATACCTTGAACCCGATGATTGAAAGATGGGAAACTGGGGAAAGCTTCACACCAAGCACGTATATTAATTGCACCCTGACGTGAGACAAACCCTCTCCTAAAGCTGAGTACTGTCACACCGAGAGACTCTTAGCAGCGCTGAGAATGACACTGAGGCTCCAAGTGAAAGCAGTACTGATCGTATCTGCTCATCAAATGGTGTGGCATTGGCATTTGATCAGCTTTTTAATTTAATTTGCACATCATACGTGCCAAAGAACCCGAGGTCTTCGAAAAGCCACAACAGGTTGTTGAAGACGCACAGCAGAAAGACGGCGAGACGCAAGTCCTGCTTGTTACTGGGGGTTCTGCCAGGCGGGCCTGCTGGGCCGACTCACCGCGGTCCTGCGCGGCGCCGGGAGCGCCTGCCGGCCGGAGACCCCACTGCGTGAGGGTCAGCCCCTCGTCTGCCAGCTCCATCAGGTCACACAGAGTCTGGCTGCGCTGGGGGCTGGGGACCCCCCCAGGGTCAGAGGTCACCGGCTGTGTCTCCAGCTCTGCAGCTGGGCTCCGCGGGGCTCCGCCTTCCTGCCAGTGGGAGAGCGCGACGTTAACACTTCAAATTACACAGACTGTGCTAAATGAAAGAAATGGCAGTTTCTAATACCTCATTCGATTATTGACAGATCAGCCGCAGTGGTGTAGTTAAGGTTCTTAAAATGACTGTTCACTGAATGAGAGGGAAAACATTTCCTTCGTGTGAGGCTCTCTTAAAAACACCCAGCACATTAAAATGATCTCCTTCCCCAGAGAAAAAGTTGAAATGATCACAATGTCACCTAGCTCATCTGTGCTCGTGGCACAAACCAGAGTTTTCTCCTTAAGCAGCATTATGTCTGGTCCCAGAGAGCCCCGGTCCGACACATTTTTGAAGTATTGGATCTATTAAATAGTTGTAATAGTAAGGATCAAATCAAGATGAGATCATTCCTGGGGAATTCTCTGGATTGAAAGGCGCAATATCAGAATAACATTGTTTTAATGGTTCACTGATTGATTGATTCAATGGATGGATGGAGAATGAAGAAACGAACTGATCCGTTCCACGGGTGACACGCTCGAGTCATCGCGAGATCACAGCGGGGCACGGCTCACCGCGGCTGGAGCCCAGGGCTCGATGGGAGGCACGAGCTCGCGGCTGTAGAAGGCGGGGGCGGGGCCGCGGTCCACGTCGCGCAGGGCGCTGCGCTCCCACAGGCCCACGCCGCCTCTCTCGGCGCGGAGGGCGCTGGCCGGCAAGCCGGGCCCGGGAGGGACGCTCGGCCACTCCCGGAGCAGCAGGGCGGCGGCGCGCTCCTGCAGCCTGCGCCGCGCGGCCTCGGGGTCTTGGGCCAGCAGCAGCGGGAGGGGGCCGGGCGCGGCCTTCCTGCGTCGCCTGCCTGCGGGGGGGGGAGACGACGGCGGTGAAGGTCACGTGGCAACGAGGCGGCGCCGTCCCACAGCACCACGCGAGGCGCCACAGGACAGTCGGCCTGCTGAACGGCACTGCCCCTTCACGCGAGCACGGAGAGGTCAGCTCTTCTCAACATCACCTCCCAGGAGACACTTCAGTTCAAATATCCCTCCCTCTCCATGTGTGTAAAAGCGTAAGACCCTTAAGTATCGTAAGTGGACAAAAGAACCTCAATATACATGAAAACACCAGAATGAATGATAAGAATCCCTTTTTCCAACTCCCCTTTAAATAGGTGCACCTCAAATGTACTGGATGGTGGATTTTGTGCCTCTTTATTAACACGATCCTTAAGTTTGAAAGACCTTGCCCTGGATCACTGTTAATGTCAGCACTGATAATGATATCGTCGCTGATACTCCGACAATAAATACTCTCAATACCATTTTGACTAATTTCCCAGTAGTTATAATTGAATTGTTTTTGCTAGGAATGGCTTAAAAACACGTCCCTAACGCCTGACAGGGTGATTAAACAGACTGCAGAAATATAACCCTCCCGTTGCAGTTCTAGTTCGGAATTGAATTAACCCTTTACTGCCCCTACGGGAGTCCACATCAAGAGCTCATGAACATGTAAGACACTATAATAATACAACACGGTACAATTCCATACACAACAACATTTCACAACACCGCTCAGTCAGAAACTCTTCCAGTATCGGAAGATTAAAAAAAAAACAATTCGCTTGTAAAGAGTCTAAAAACAGCAACAACAATAATAAGATGCCTACATGGAAACCGTCTTTTCACTGTTCAACGGTTGAATGCTTTTAGGTGTGAATGAAGTACAGGCTCTCTTCGTCTCTGTACAGATCTGGCTCCTCTTCTCGGAGGGTAAGGAGAGTATATTCCCCTGGCGCTCACCTGCTGTGGGTCTCCCCTGTACACCTGGGGCTTTTCCAGGAGGCTCCAGCCTCAGCTCCACCTCCTCCTCCTCCGCCATGGAGCGCGACAAAGCCAGGGCCAGCATGGTGTCCTCGTCCAGCGGCTCGGCCTGCTTCCGGGGCCTCTTCGCCGGCCTGCCGGGGTCCCCGGCGCCCCTCCTCTTGGACCGCACGCCTGGGGGGCTGAGTGGCACAGTGAGCGAGAAGGCTTACGAGTTACTGAGGTCACCTCGGTATTTAAGGCAAACCTAATATTTAATAACCGGAATATAGCGCTTGTGATCCTAATGGATCCCAAGGTATTTTACATAGGGGAGGAGACACATTTCGTCCTGCGCTGCGCCGACAGGTGGCAGCCTTCCTGCAGCAGGTGCTACACTGCCCAGCACAGCAGGGAGAGGAGCGGGACATCCGTTAGAAAACGGATGGATGGATTTAGAGAGGCCAGATTGTGCAAGCCCTGAGAGGATTTCAGTCAGGAAACCAGAGTCCACACTCCTGCTCTTCCAAACGGTGCCATGGGATCTTTAATAACCAATAATCAGTACACCAGTTTAAAATCTCATCCACAGGGCAGTGTTTCCTAAGGGACAGTGATCCTGGTAGGCATACTGGGGCCCTGGTTTGAACATTTAGATCCAGAGGACACACAGAGTACCACCTACTTGTCCACCAACCCGATTTCTAGCAGCAACATGATTGTCACCCCATTTTTAATGTTATAATATACTTTCAAGGCATGTTTGTAAATCTCCTTTGGTTCATTGCCTGTAGTCAAAACTGCAATGGTTATAACAGTGTGTCATTCTGTGATTCTCTGTATCTAAACACAGCAGTGGAAAAAAAAAATCAGACAATGAGGATCCTGTTCTAGTGTCAAACAATACGCTGATTTTCCAAAACAATCAGGAGATGTGAAAAGTGAATTTACAATTTAAAAGCGAAGAAGAGCAGAAGCCATTTCTGTGTGATAAAACTTGTAGTGGGACAGCAGGGTTCGGAGGCTCACTCACTGGGGCCTGGCTGTGTTCCCCCCCTGGTCTTCTGCCTGTCTCTTTATGGCCTCTAGGAGCTGGGCCGGAGGGACCCCCATCTCCGAAGCACATCGCTTCAGGTGTGCCGCTCGGGTTTTGGGGTGTCGGAACTGCTTCCCGCAGATCGGACACTCGGGCACTCCAGTGGAGGAGGGGGGCGCACTTGCTTCTGTGTCATCCAAACACCTGCCAGAGAGGAGGCACAAAGCCAGCAATCCGTCGATTGAGAATCAACACGCTTTTTGAGTGCCACTCCATTACAGCTGTAGCTTTCTGCATATTGTAACACACAAGCCACCCAATTCGTTATGAACTAGAAGAGATGAGGAATAAGACGCCGTGAGAAAAAGTCAAATGAGTGTAATTTCTTTTAGGTGTGGCAGTCATCTCCCAACAAGCAACAGGAATCGCAGGTCACCATGAGTGTTATTGCATCGTAGGGTATCCTGAAATTCTGAGAGACGCCAGTAGGGCACACGTTTAAGACAAGCTCTCATGCACCAGGGCTTTTAAATGCACTTAAACAGTATGAGCTGTATCAGAGCTACAGCCCCTGATTCGTGGTGTGCTGTATTTGTACTATGGTTGCCATCTTTACTAGAAATCTGAAGATAAATTGCGTGGTGGAGATGGAGACTTGGGCCTCTTGCGCCCACAACCACCGATAAGGCCGGAAAGCAAAGATCAGGGGTCTCCTTCTCAAACTCTTGGCATAGTTTGGGCAATCTAGGACACCGGATGGCACGGGAGAGACGAGGGCTGGTGGCAACCCTGACTTCAGTCTCCGCGGAGCAGCATGGCCAGGGAGCAGGGTGGCACTGACCTGTTGAGGTGCTGTGTGCGGCGCAGGGAGTTCATCGCGGACAGGTCCTTCTGGCAGATCTGGCAGAAGAAAAGCCCCCCCTCCTCCAGACCCTCCAGGTCCAGCGCCTCCCTCTGCAGAGCCTCCTGCAGCTGGCAGGCCAAGGCCTCATCGCGCTGGGGGTCCAGGACTACAGCGGGCCCTGCAGGACCCAAAACAGAGCAGGGCGTTGGAGCAGCGGGGGACAGGCAGAGCCCAGGGGTCTCTGCTCCCTCCTTCTACCTGGGGCTAACAGTGAGCAATCACTCTGTACAGGAAAGAAAAGATGCACTAGATCTTTTCCGGCCCCTACATTTGAAGGCTGTAAAAACTCTCTCTTTCCATTAGAATCTGCATCAGCTGGACTCGTGCTTGTGGAACAAACTACCACATCGTGGGATGTGGTACCACTCCAATTCACTGCAGTCCTTCAAAAAAAAAAATCCAAATAAAACAAACCACCAATGACACTCTTCAAGCAGTGGTGCAGATTATAATGTCCTACTTGAAAAACAATCTCTCAGCACGAGCAGAATTATTTCCCCGTTTCCCGTCAGGAGTTCCACGAGTGCCGCGCATGCATCGGTATTCAACACGAGCGTATGCATCAGGGCCTGCACAATGCCCAGATCGCAGACACCGCGAGGGAGCGTGCTCTCTGTTAGCTTGGAGTTCTGTGGAATACACATCTCCTCGATACCGAGGCTGAGCCATTCAACATAGGAGGGCTCAGGTGTAAGTTCTTTTAAATAATCAAAACTAACTCTTCATATTCATAAAAGTACACATCTTATTCATTTTGGATGTATATAGTTTTGTTTAAAAGTTATATCATTGTAAAATACAAAGGGACAAATAGCAATAGTCAATTTCGCTTGTGATGTATAGTCGAAAGTGTATTGTAAAAGTAAGGCTGAGTAAGGGTGATTATATGTAAAATGGTTTTGTTTTGTTCTCTAAAATTAAAAATAAATAAATTCAAAACTAACAAGCAAATTATGAGAAATAATGCAAACCTTTTGTATTTCACAGATTGAAATGGTCGAGGTACCTGGTCCACTCAGGGGAAAAATCCCCTGCAACAACAATCTACTCTGTGGATTCACAAAGCCGAAGAAAAATATATACACGTTGAAATCTGACAAAACTCCTGGAAATCTAGCAATTTACCTCACCGTCACCTGGAGTGTTTTCACACTCCGTGAAAACAGTGTGGAAAAGCCAAGATGGACATAAAAAACACACATGAGAACAGGCAACCAATATAAAAAGATAAAATGAAATATGCTAAAAGAAAACGAGATCTGCATTTCTGAATAGTTCTGATAGGGTGACCTGTAATGGTGATTTTTTGGTGAAGACATCAGTGAAAACCTGTGGCCGTGATGAAAAATGAAGTGCTTTTGACTTTAATAGTTGGAGCTGTTTGGAACCACCTACCCACAACATTTCAAATTCTTACAGAGTCCTTGCTATGAGCGATACACAAGACTTTCACGCTTTTCTTAAGGGTGAAATGTGTCCGGTCTGAGGACCGAAGGTGACCGTGGGGATTTAAAGCCCTGGAGGTTCAGGAGCCCAGTCTGACCTGGTCCCGAAGCTGTCGTGTAGCGGTCCCGCCCCGTGCCCAGGTCCGTGTGCGTCAGTCTCTCTGGGCTCAGTCTCTTAAACCGCTGCAGGCGCCGCACCACCTTCTCCTTCACGCCCATCCTCCCTGGGCCCTGGACACCTGGAGAGCGCGACAGGTGAGCACTGAGCACTCCAGACCCCTGCTCCATCCCTTCACAAGCAGACGGATGCAGAATCGTTTGGCAGGGTGGCTGGGCTTGACATTTGATGCATGCAAGTGCAGGGTTCTACCTGCAGGTGAAGTGTAATATAAAGCAACACTGAGCTTCAAGAGCCTATCAAAGAGACGCTTATCCATCCATCTTCGAAGCAGTTTATCCAATTCGGGGTCACAGGGGAGCAAGCATCGGGCACAAGGCAGGGTACACCCTGGATGCAGTGGCAGTCCAGCACAGGGCACACACTGACAAACACACACACACACACACACACACACACTTACACCAGGGCCTGTTTTCCCAGAAGCCAATGAACCTACCAGTAAGTCACTGGACTGTGGGAGGAAACCAGAGAGAACATACCAACCCCATGCAGATAGTGGCCCGGGAATTGAACCCAGGGCCCCAGTGCTCTGAGAAAGCATTGCTAACGACTGTGCCACCCATGTTTTACTTTATTATTAATATTACTATTGTAGAACATTCGAGGAAAAAGGTGAACAGGGCGTCAGGCTATATAGATTAAAAGTGCAGAATGGAAACTACAGGATGTTATTTATAAGAGCTCATAATGAACAACTGCAGTGGGCACATTACAAAAAAAAGTGCAGCTCTGGAATCAGTGCAGAGAAGAGAGAAAATCCTGGGATTCAAGTACAGTCACACTCTGACAAGCTTCAGGAACTCAACTGCTGTAGTCTTTAACAGAGAAGACAGCAGTATGACCCATCAGACTTCTTTAGATCCAACAGTGAAATACAAGTGACAAGCAGAAACGGCAAGTACAGAAAGTGGAGTCGTGACTCAGGACAGGAGGCTTTTCTACACCACGAGTTGTAGGAGTGTGGAACAAGCACACCGTGCTGTTGACGCCAACACCTGGGCTTCTCAATGAGATCCTTGAGTCACTTAGCCAGGAGCAACCAAGCAAGCCATATGGCTTCTACGCCTTCCACTGACTTTTCATTTCTCTTATGGTATCACTGAACCAAACACTGGAAGCCAACTACAATGTGCAGAAAAGCTCAAGGAGCAGTTTCAAGGAAACATTCAAAACAAGGCCAACGCCCAGTACGTGACATGCAGGCGGCAGATTTGAATTCTGGACACGGAAACGACGACGGAGGGAGAGCGAAGGCGGGGGTATGCGGTCTTCTCCTACCTCGGGGCGAGGCTTCGCCGACGCTGACCGCTGGAGGGGCGCCAGGGGGGTCACTCTCCGGGGCTGGGCACACCGCAGGGGGCACGGCGGCCTGGGACGCGCGGCCTGAGCCGCACCCCTTCCTCTTCGAGCCCGGGTCGGGCCCCCTCCTACCCCCGGCTCCTCTCCTCAGCCTGCCCCGAGCTCTCGGAGCCCCGATGTCCCTCCGGTGGCCATCCTCCCCCTCCGCCTTTTTCACCCGTCTCAGCACCTTGGTGCAGAGCTCGGTGAAATCCTCATCTGAGTCTTCCATCCGTCTCCCTCAAATCCCAGCCCCTTCCAGCCGGGGGCGTCTAAGGGCCCCTCGCTTCACACCCCATCTTTAAGGCTCATCCACAGCGGACACTAGCCCACTGAACGCCCCCTGTCGCCAAACACTGTGGAAACAGCAAACAAAACTCCATCAGCTCCCGGTGAGAGGAAAATCAAGGGAGAGCAACGGCAAGAAGTCTAAATCACAGCCCTGAGTTTTGCCATTTTATTTGATCTGATCATATTCTAGTTTGCAGACAGAATGACAGAAAAGTGCAAAAAAAAATAACAATACAGTATCGGGAGATAAAGCAGTAACAATACAAAAGGATACGCAAAGAGCATGGGGTGAAATCAGAGCCCAATGCACCCGTCCTCTTACGTTACAAAAACGATCATTTTTTACAGCACATGTCCGCTGTCATGCGCCAAACTACAGTTTTTAACACATTTTACGTCCTGATTTTTCAGAGATCGAACTTTTAGTTTAAATTCCTAAATACATCAGTTCGTCATACGATGAACGAGTACAGAAATGCGCCTGTCTTCAATGTAGCATCTTCTGAAGCATGCACTGTAACCACTTATGCACAACATGTCTAAATTATTTAAAAATATAAATTGCATTAAAATAATTTGAATGTAATTGGTGCACTTGGTGCAAAACCGCTAAGAGATTTACATTGTGATAACTCCAGCTAATGAACCACAAATAAAAACATTTCCCGACGTCTTGAGAGCAAATCAGAACCCGAATCTGAGTTCTATGCCTTCACCTTTACCAGATCATATGGATTTCATTTATTTTTTTAGGTGTTGTTTTAAAATATGACACAATTCAAACTCACACAGAACCCGCTGGGCTTTGTACTTCCTGTCACATGCCCACCGCCGTACCGTCCACGTCACATGACAAACAGCAACTCACATGATATCCCCACTGCGCGTCACAGAGAAAGTATTTTGCACGTAATCCTTTGCGGGTTTTTAACAGAATAGTTCTAAGCTATTCTATTTTATAGAAAGGTGCAACATTTACGTTTGCACGAAAATGTATGCTTTTGGCTTAAGTATCATTCAAAACATTGTTGTGCTGTACCTAATCGAACCTACATTTCATTCTCCCATAAATGTCTTGAATTGTTTGGTATGATGGCTTTCGTCATGTTGTTAACCCGTTATATGTTAACCTCGGCCAGTGATTCCCATACACGTGCTAGACAGGGTTCAGATCCAGACTTTGGTGAATGAGGACTTTTTTATTGGACTCTTTTTTGGTTTCCTGGTGAACATACCAATGCTAGCTTCTTACAATGCAACTGTAGTGCTACAGGGCCCTCTTACCTTGGGTCTGGCCAGCCAGAATGCACTTTCTACACATTGCACTCTACGAAGGCAGGTATTATGAAGTGGAGGAGCTCATCGACTACTCACTCTATCCCAGCCCTTGTGGAAGCTGACTCCCCTGTGATTCTTTAACATGCCTCATGCAGAGGGTCTGGAATTAGTACTGCAGCAATCTTCCCTGATCCCTATGGCCATGTAGGTGAGCAGAGGCACAGGCTCAGGGTTTCGTCTCCTTTACTGATCGATGCAGGTGTGTGTGCTGATCACAGGGAGAGCAGAAAACAAGGAAAAGGTGTCCCTAGGGTACAGAGAAAAGGAAACATCTTCCCTTTGTATAGGGGGAGAGAAACAGGGAGATCTGAGTGAAGATGAAATGCACAGTCTGCCCAGAGATTGCAGATGCTGTGTGCAGGTAAAAGCCTTGCCACAATTTCCTTTGCTACTGTTGTTAATTCTGCTCTAGAGCAGCATCTACAACCCTTTTCCTAGAAAGCTGCAATCCAATTTCTAGACTGGATTGATTAGTGATCTGATCTGTTAATTTACAGACAATTACAGCAAACAAACTTCAGTCGTCAGGGACCAACCTGCTTTTAACTAAACAAAGAACATGCATGCTTCATTAATAACTAAAAAGTGTTTCCAATCCTCAAAAATAAAAAAGTTAGAATGCTCTGTAAAATCATGAATTACTAGGGCACTCCACAACTAATGTTGAAGAGACCTGCTTTAGGGTGTTCCACTAATGGTTTTAAAATCTTTCAGAATCTAAATATGGAGCAGAACATATTCAGACAGCCTTCAGAAACTTTCGCAAAAAGTATTCAAGCCTCTTTATTACCAACTACATTTTTGAATGTTAGAATTCACAGCTACCCAATAAAAACAAAAGGCTGAAAGAACACAGACATTCCAGGCTAATGAACACGTAGGTTTGTCTGCGTCCTTTATCATTCCCAACTAAACTCTTAACAGAAGAATGCAGGGATTTTATTGAGACAATATCCAATTTCACCCCTTTCACATCTGCTGACCCTTTCATCACAGTCACTAACAGTTAAGCACAAACATACAACAACTGCGAGTAGATGGTTCAGGGGGCACAGATCAGCTCACAACAGCACTGCCTGAATATAGTAGGTTAGGAAGATAAAGGACCTGCTTCATACCCAGGAAAAATCATTTGATGTCGGCCCTAATGAATATTCTCCATGCAAGGAATTACTTTGAAAATGAAGAAAGAGGATTCGAATGAGTCTTTTCTGAAGATGCTTCCTCACTACTGCGATATTGAATTTAAAGTGAAGATCCATCGGAGCCCACTTCTCGATCTCTGCTGTAATGGCCTCTTCTATGGGGTTACTGTAAACGTCCTCTTAGGGCAAGGCTGCAAGACCAAAAGTTATCAGAGTCGATCTCTTGCTCCAGCCCCAGAAATCCTGGATGAAACGTCCAGTCCTCGCACTGATTCCAGGCCCCGCTGCCTCCTGATGCAGCCTGGCAGCCTGGCAGCCTGTGTTCGGCGCTGGCGGGTCCGAAGGGTCAGTGCTTCTCCAGAGCTCGGGTCAGCAGCTCGTTGAGGCGGCCGATCATGGGGCGGGGGTCGTCGTTGAGTCCTGCCGCGATCATGGCGTTGTCGTAGATCTGCAAGGAGAGACACTGCGCTGAGGGACAACTTGTTGTGCTGGAAGAAACAAACAGCTGTGACAAAGACATAAAATGGCCAGGATATAAAGTGTAAAGGGGATGGCATGGTGGCGTTGTGATCAGCACTGCAGCCTCAGGGAGCTGGGGCCCTGAATTCAATCGTGGGCCTGGGGTGCTGTCTGTGTGGCGTTTGTACGTTCTCCTCGGGATCGTGTGCGTTTTGTCCAGGTGCTCCGGTATCCTCCCACAGTCTAAATGTCACGCCCAGTACACTATAGAGGGTGCTCTACTTCTCTCCTGTTCCTGGTGCCCTGTGATTATTCATGTCTTTCCGGTGTTCGTTGTTGTGTAGCCTATTTACTTCCTGCTTCTGCTCTGCTCCTTCGCACCGGCCTAGCGTCAAGTCACTCCTGTCCGTGGCCTGAGGGCATAGGTTCATTTCCTGAACAGCTGAGCTCGGGCTAACCCCCGTCTCGCCGCTACGCATAGGGTCTTTATCGCTCTCCTGCCATTCCACGGTTTGTCCCTTCCGACATCCGTGATACGAAAGACATGATGGGAAAACCGGTTTGTTTGTGTCTGGGTGTGCCCTGTGATGGACTGGCATCCTGTCCAAGAGCATACCCTGCCTTGCGCCTGTTGCTCGCTCCGGTTCCCATGCCATCCTGAATCAGATGAAGCAGGAAGAGAACGGATGGATGGATAAAGCACAAAACAGACGTTCAAACTCCTCCGATTTGGAACACTGACCTAGTGCATGGGTTCCCAGTCCTAGCCCCTGGAGGCCAACACACCCCAACCCCACGTCCTTCGCTAATTAGAACTACCAAGTTGTTTAATCAAAACATCTGCATCCCTTTGCTGATTCTGGGCCACTCGGGAGCTGGGGATTTTAAAGCTGGACTGAGCACTGTCTCCAGCTCCACAGGCTCGACTCCACTCCGCTCTGCGGTGCTCAGACATCACAGCAGCCTTACCTGCTCCAGCAGTAACTGCGCCAGATCGGGGTCCGAGTCCTTCAGCTCATTCAGCTTCTTGATGAGGTCGTGCCTGATGGAGAGAATAATTGTTTACAGCTCATTTGGGGAGACAGAAGTATACCTGTGGTTTTGGGCATGCCTCCAGGATCTGAGGTACTTTTCCTCATCTTTCGGCATCTCTGTGAATATTCTGCTTCAGCCCCTCTTTTCAGTAGTCAAGGCGTCTGTGTAAATCTGATTGAAGGCAACCAACTGGCTTTAACTTGGATCCAGAAATGGATTTGTGCAATTTAATAATGTGACATTTTAAGAAAGCTAAAGGGTGTTGTTCTCAAAGGACTTGAATATTAAAACATTTATAAAGATCAGGGAAAGGAAGACAGCCGGCAAATTTGTTTTTAATTTTTGAGGACTGCAACGTTTGTTAAAATAATCCTAAAAAAGTTTCCAGAAATTCCAGCAACAACGGCTACATGCAGCAGAAATCAGCTTGCATCTTAAAACTTGAAGTTTTCAAACTCAGACAAAGGCCTCAACTGAAGTAGGACATATTACATCGAACACGTACTCCAGGTGACAATACTGCTGCCTTATCCCACTGTGGAAGGTAACGGAGTAATTTGGAATCTGTTAACCTAGTCTTGTGCCGCCTATACGAAAAAGTACGTCAAAGGAAGAGAAAACTGAGTTCTATTAACTGCTGCAGAAATGAATTTCTGTAAAAAGTGAAAAAAGCAGAAGCAAGAAACTTCAAACTTCAGGACAAAACCCCTAAGAAGTGAAGTGAACCTCTGTCATGTATCACATGTACCTATACTGCATATAAGAGCTGGGGGAACCTTTGCAGCCTGTCCCCTTGCTCGTCACAATTCCCACAACTACTTTTGTTTTGTTGCACCCACACTATGCACCTGCTACACTCACAATCAGCCTGGCAGTAGAGCAGTTTGAGTCGGTGTCACAACACAACAACATAAAACCACAAACTGACCGCCCTCACTCTCAGTGCCCGACTCACTTCCCTGGCTGGACCCCTGGACATGTTTATGCTCCTGCTCCAGCACCGCTGTCCAGGACTGGACAGTGTCCCCGCCCCCGAGCCTCACCCGGCGTTGATCTCCAGCGTGGGCTGCAGGATCTGGGCCCGCTCCTCGCTGCTCTTGGCCAGCTGCTGCGTGCGCAGGAAGTGCCGAGCGGCGCCCATCTCCAGCACCGTGATCATGGCGGGGTGGGTGTCCAGACGAGGGGTGACCTGGGAACAGGGGGCGGGGCGGAGAGACGCCGTCACACAGCGCAGACGGAGCGACGGAGGGGAGGGGGGCGAGGAAGTGGGCGAAAGGCAGAGGGAGCAGTGCAGGACGACAGTCCGTACCTTGATGTTGGTGACACGCTGCCCCAGGACGTTCCTCATCCAGGACATCAGATCTTCAGCCTGCTTCTCCGGGAGGCGCTCGGAGGCTGAGGAGACAGCGGGCGAGGTGAGCCCCCCTCAACCAAACCAAACAGAGCGGGAAAGAAAAAACCCTGGAAACGTTCAAGTGCATATCCGGTTTTCAAAAGCCTTCACTTCCTAGAAAATGGATGGATGGCTAAATATCCGCTCCTTAATTACTGATGCATAAACAGAGATATAGCGAAGGCATCAATGAGTTCAATGAGGAAAAGAACTGCCAAGCAAATCTATAACATTGCATGAAACATCAGGCCCGGAGTAAGGTCTGAAACAATGCCCCCAGCAGGTAGCAGTGTCTTTAGTCTGCTACCTGGCTTGCTGTCCTCAAACTTCTCTTCCTTGTAGTGGTCAACAACAATGTCCGTCTCCACGGAAATGAGCTTCTTCTTGTCAAACTCCCGCAGGTGCAGCAGCGTGAGCTCATCAAACTGCTCAAAGCAGAAGAGCACCTAGAGACAGAGGAAGAGATTAAAGCCATTAAAGCCTCTGCTGTAAAAGAGGGGGGGAGGGGGGATCTGCCCAGTCACATCCCTGGGGGCCTTGGTCCACTGAACACGCAGTCTGGTCACAGTCGGCGAGTCCCAGACATCAAACTCTCAGGACCAAACAAGGACAGCACAGCAGGTTCATCAGAACATTCTCAAATGTTTCCAAAGGACAGGAAGCCATTTGGCCCATCGAGATGGTTGCTAGCAGATCGTCCTGGCGTCCTCAGTGTGGCCCGGGCCAGGCGCGTACCTCCATGTCCTTCTTGCGCATGGCCTCGAAGTAGGGCGAGTGCTCGGCCAGGTGGCGGTTGGGGGCGCACAGGTAGTAGATGTTGCGGGTGCCCGCCTTCATGCGGCTGGCGTAGTCCTGCAGGCTGGTCTGCTGGCCAGCTGGCAGGGCAGAGGACTCGTAGCGCAGCAGCTTGGCGATGTCCTCCTGCAGAGACAGGAGGGCACCCGAACTGAGAAGGAGATCCCGCCATCCAGCAAATCAAGTCAAATAAACAGACCCAGCAAGCCTCAGTGTTACACAGCGAACAAAGAAACCACAGGCTAATCCATGTGCAGCTGTCCCTTGATATACCCCATTATAACGCCTGGCCATCATATCAGCAATTTCAATGCTTGTCCAAGAGTAGGAGCACTGTGTAAAGATGGTCTGTGAAGATTTGGAGAATACTCTATAGGGTCTGTCAGGCACAAAAACAGAAGCTTTTCAACCTTGAACAGAGAAAACTGATACCAGTTTTCAAAACCCCCAAAGGCATTGACAAAATGCATCAAGGGGAGTTCTTCAGAATACACAGTGAACCAAAATGGAATGGACACGTAATGAAATGAATTTATTGTCGAGAAATACACTGTGGGCGTCTGGAACAAGCTACGTAGTCACGCTGTCGAAGAGGAGATCGCGACCGAACGAGCTCCTCGTATTTGTTACCAGGAGCAGAATGAGCTTGGCGTCACGGCTGACCTCTCTGTGAAGGGGCACGCGAGGCAGCGTGGCTTCCCTAAAACCAGTTTCCCCAGTTCCAGCCAACCCTCACCTATTGTCAAGCCCCCAGCCTGCCCACCTCTGCGCCCCAAGAAGCCCCCAGTGACACGCAGCAGGCTCCTGGATCTCGGGGTTACCTTGACGTCTTGCTCTGCGGTGGTGACAATGCCTTCCCTCATGAACAGGCCATAGTCCTCGAAGAACTTGGAGTACTTCTCGGGCTCCTTCTTGCTCTGGTCCACGAAGAACTTGATGAGACGCCTCTGAAGAACATCGCGCAGCTTCCTGAGAGGGCGGCAGAGTTGAGCGTTGAAGAACAGAGAAACAAGAGTGCCGGGAGAAAACCTACTCTACTGGGAAAACTCTCTTAATTTTGTCATTTTCACGAGCAACTAGATGTAGAACTGGAGTTAACATTCAATGATTCTAGTAACCCAAACCCTACACTGTCCTGAAATGCAAGCTCACGTCAATACCATTTTTGCAGCATTTTTCAGCTGTTTGAAAACTTGGCTAAAGAAGACACATTATTGAAGGCGATCATTTTCCAAGAGCTTTTTTTTAACAGTTTGGATTGTTTTAGGCTCATATGTTTTGATTCAAAGAACATTTTCAAATCTGATGACTGGGGGGCTTCATTGGAAAATACTGCAGAGACTGTAGGACTGTTCTGTTGAAACCCCAGCAAGGGTTAGGGCTAGCGTTCCTACACTACTTTTTTTTACACTCAGTGCTGGTTTTTGGTATCCGAGGGAACTTTAGTCCGAGTGATAGTTAGCTCCTATCTGCCACTTTTTCTTGGAGACTTTTGGCTGCCTATGTTGAGAATCTAATTGCTTTACAATGTGCTTCTCCACCTCACCTGATGAGGGCGCTCTCCTGCAGGAGCTCTCTGCTTAGGTTCAGGGGAATGTCCTCGCTGTCCACCACACCTGCACAGAGCACAACAGTCTCTTCACTTCCAAACCTCTCCTCCAGGAGACCCCAGCGTACTCATCAAACAGTTATGCACAGAACAGCAGGCAGTGATGTAATATATTGGGGAGGTGCATGCACTGACTGTCCCGAGAAACACAATCAAGAGGTTTTGCATAGTTTCTACGAGGAGCACAAACTGGGCACTTGCTGTGCTTCAGATCTACTTCATGTAAATGGGAGAGCATCTGCCCCAAATCCTGTGCCGGCCTGCCTGGGAGTGACTGTCTGAAACCTTTGTCACATGGTCTACAACCGTCAGATCATTGAAAGTGTGAACCGTCTTCACAACAAGCCAGGTGGAGAAGTTTGTGGATCTGGCCTGAGCGAGAAGAACGTCAGCAACGTGGACAGCTGGCGATATGCAGCAAATAACCCTCACCAAAGAGGAAGAAAAAGGCTACCCTGTCACATTTTACTGCCAACGAATTAAAATACATCACATACCGTTGGACTACTGACATTCCGCCTTGCAGCTCTAATCTACACGTATTCCCCAAAAAAATATTTTCTATCCACATGATCCAGACCCAAAACTGCTTTATCCGTTCATGTATTTTAATTCAGGGTCTGGGGGGGGGGCCTATGGAAACCCACACAAACACGGGGAGAACATACAAACTCAGGTGGTATCAGCTCCGTGACACTGACCTCGCAGGAAGCGCAGCCACTTGGGCAGGATGTCGGTGGCCTTGGTTTGGATCAGCACCTTGCGGCTGTACAGAGCCACGCTGGAGCCCATCTCCCTGCTGACGTCAAACATGGAGGGCTTCTGCACAGAGACAGACAACGAAGCACCGTCAGCCCACCCCCCCTGCCTCGGCTAAGGGTAAACCACCCTGTCGGAGCTCAACACCCTTCCACAGGGCACCGGCAACCTCTACAAGATTGTACCGCGATGTACGAGCGAGGACGTGCAGGCCGTGCCGCAGACATTTCACCATGGAAATGGTCCCGTGTGATCTGCGGAGTTCACAGGTCAGGAGTATTTGTCAGCAAGACCATCTCGAAATCAAGAGCCATGTTTCTATCGGGTTAAAGGTGACGTACTCACAAGCCAGCTTGTTAACAGTGTAACAGGGCTGTAGCACGTCACCAGAAGTTTTGTAGCGCAGAATAGGGGGCTGTGGAAATTTAATCTATTTAGTGATGTCAACTGGAGGTTTTACACATTACTGGGTACATTTGACTTTTATCGTAGTTTGAAATGCTCATTCTTTCTAACCCTAAAATACAAAAATGGTGCTGCAGTTCCCCTTTCAACTCCTCCACTTAGGGCAGCAGTCGCACCTCAGCCACCCTCTCCCACGAGCGATACCGCGGGTGGGACAGGGAACTCGGACAGAGGCAGGAAGACGCGCTTTCCCAGACGGGGCACGCGACAATAACACAGAGTTGCGTTCTCGGGGCCAGGGGGTCTTGCGGTTTTCTCTGTGCTGGCAAACGCCCCAGCCGGCTCCCGGATCTGTCGCTCGAGAGCGCGCGCGAGCCCGCCGCGGCGCCGGCCGCTCACCATCTCCGGCACGTAGAAGACGCTGCGGATGTTGAGGGGGGCGTCGGTGCGGTAGTGCACCACGTAGCGGGGCTTGTCGTAGGCCTGCGCCACGTAGCGGTAGAACTCCTCGTGCTGCCATTCGCTGATTTCCTTGGGGTCCATCATCCACAGAGCCTGGGAGACAGCACAGCAAACACCGCCGGTAAACCTCACTCGCTGGCGGGCCGCGCTCCACCACCTCTCAAGCCCAGCGGCCCCCCATTAAATCGGCGTTTACCGGCCCATGGGACATCACGATAAACAAACTGCCTTCCACAGCGGATCAGTGCAGTTCTTTCCCCATTATTCGTCTGGCCTCCGCGAGAGGCACCAGGCTAACAGTGCCGTCGCTGCTGTGGCTGACCGGTCCTGCGGCGTCTCGGGGCTCAGAGCGAAGGGCTGGGGGCAGGAGAGGATGGGAGACGGACGGGCGGCCCTTACCTGCAGGGTGTTGAGCCTCCGCCCGTTCAGGAATATGGGGAAGCTGACGAAGTTGCTGTACTTGGTGACTACCTCTGCAATGAAGAGACCAGCGTTAGTCTCGCCCAGATGTTTAGCCCAGCACGCTAAACACTCTACCAGCAAGACGAGGCACAGCAAAAAACTGATATATCCTCATTTCACCTATAAAATGAATGACTGGGGTTCTCCAGGATAAAAATGGAGACCACTGCCTAATTAACAGACCCCTGAGAATATCCTAAATTTGACCTCTTTCTGTTTTTGTTCTGCATTCCTACGAATACCCAAGACTTCAGCTGACTGGTTCCTCTAGTTACATGGCTAGATCATGCAACAGCCACACAGAGCAGGTCCTGGCTTGTCTTACCTTTGACCCTGTCCTCAGAAGCAAACTCCTTGCAGTCATCCTTGAGGTGCAGGACGATCTTGGTGCCCTGTCTCACTCCTTTCGCCTCGGCAATCTCAAATACCCCGGAGCTGGAAAACACCACGCTGGAGAGTGAGGAGCTGAGAAGAAGGAAGAGGTCTGTGCAAGAGGGGACAAGTGTGTAGGTCCAGCGTCCTGCAGGCTGGCAGTGCCAAGTGCGCCAGCATCACCACACCGCGCAGCAGCTGCTGGGTCACAGATACCTGCCAGGAAGGAACCACCTCCAGGGTCTTCAGCGACGTGAGTGCCTTAAAGAAAGCGGACCGCTGCTTTCAGGAGGACGTGGTCGGCGGTCCCTCTTACCCGTCGGAACACCACTTGTATCCGGTGCTGCCCGGCTCCGCGCACTGAGAGAACACGTCCACTCTGTCGGCCACCATGAAGGCGGAGTAGAAGCCCACGCCGAACTGGCCGATGATCTTGCTGCTGGCCTCCGCCTGGTTCTGGAGGGCCTCCAGGAATGCCTGCGGGACGAGAGACAGGAGCTCAAGCACATGGGGCGGGCGCTGGGGATCCAGGGGTGTCCTTGCTGAGCCGGGGGACAGCAGCTCTTCTCCGAGGAAATACGCCGGCACTAAAACTGCTGCTCTGTGATCAACCGCTAAGCTGTTACTGAAATGGTGGAGGAGTGGTCAGGGCCCCGAGTTCAAATCCCTGAAGAGGCACAGCAGTTGTACTCCCGAGAAAGAGACCTTGCTCAGATCGCCTCAGGAAAGCTCCCAGCTGCATAAATGAGCACCAGCATGAGTTGCCTTGGATAAATGCATCAGACGAGAGCCAATTAAAAATGAAAATGTATTTTCGAATATAATTCCTTTTAAAGGGCAGTGATGTGGGGAGGATGGTTTCCTCGAAAGGCGCGACAGAGCATGAGTCAAGGTCGTAACATCCCTGTCCATTGCTGAGCACGGCACGGAGTCCGAGTCTCAGTCTTGCAGAGCTGCTGCAGGAACAGGGGGTCCGGCTTCAGACGATCAGGGGAGCAGACGACATCTCTCCGAATCTTCACAGACGCCCTGCTGGCGCGGGGGGTGGGGGGGGGGAGTGGGTGCAGGCATGTGCAACATCTCAGGAGACCAGAGCGGGACTCAGGACAGCCACAAGGACGCCAGGACGAGACCAGAGGCACTCCTACCTTAGAGCCGGAGCGAGCGATGGTGCCCAGGTTGGAGACCAGCTCCTCCTTGGTCATGCCAATGCCAGTGTCCTGCAGAGAAGGTGGCAGGGGGTGAGAACTGCACTGGACCAGCAATAGAGCAAAGGAAGGCAATATAACAAGAAGATGCAGATATCTAGATGATTCCTGACGGTTTAATCACAGGAGGCCTAGGACATCAGGAATACTGAGGGTTTAGATTCTTAATAGTCGCTGAAAGAAATTGATCTTGATTGATTACCAACCTGATAACCATCATGAACACTTGCCTTGTGTTACTAATGCATCAGAAGTCCTGTACAGGGTTCTGGGATACCTCAGTATTCAACTGTGATGTATACAACATTGCTCAGTTGCATCCCATGAAGCGGAATTTGTAATGATTTGCAACAGTTTCCATTTCAGCATGTACGGCAAAGCAGTGAGAATGTACACCTTCTGGCAGTGCCCTCAGCTGTTAAGCAGTGGAGTAAGAGCAGAATGTTCTGGACAATGACCCCAAAGAGATGCATATATGTCTTTCAGATCATATGACATTAAGCTTCAAAGCACAGAGAGCAAACTGGGTAACAAATTAAGATAATCACATTTATGTCTCATTAGATAGTTAAAAAGCGTTAGATCATAGTGTTTATAAGTACATGTTCCGTTCTTTATATTGCACGTTATTGTAAAATACTCGGAGGCCCAACATAAGTAATGCAATTTACTATGCTGATGCAGTACCCTAGTCAGCCACCAGATGGCGGAACGGCAGTTTTTTCTTTTAGCATTTGCCATTTTCCAACATTAAAAAGGTAATCTGTCCTTTCTCTGTTTTGTGCCAAAGCCTCATTTTGCTCCAGAAAATGTCAAGGCTGTGCCAAGTGCACGGCCTCCGAGCCAAGAGAGGTAACAAGTGAACTAAAGAACTGGCATCTATTGTAACACCTCCAGGCTACAAAGAACATATCAGGGAACTGATGCACAAAGCAACTCTTCTTCCGATATATTTGCATCATGCATCATCTAGTTATAACATTAACCCAATCTTGATCTTAAAAGCAATCACTTCGTGATATAAAAACTCTTTACCTGAAGAGAACACTTTCCTGTCCAGTTGAAATGGTATAAATGTCACTCCTGTGCACTCTCCCATTTGTCTCCATCTGCACTTAGAAAGCGAGTGTATCACATGCTCAGTTGGGCATGTCCATGCTCAGAAAGTAAATGCCAGCCAGCCTTTTCGAGGATGAGTTCCACAGTGTGATCAGCTCACCTCAAACCAGTTTGCTCTACAGAAACGGCTGTATCCTGTGATGCAGGTTGTGTGCATGCAGCATCCAGGCTGGGAGACAGCAGCAGTGTGTTTATGAGCACATACGGGCAGAGACAGACTCTATGGTGTTTCAGCTGTAGAACTGAAAAGGCTTCAGTTTGTTCAGAATGAAGATTACTGGCCTGGGCTTCTGCCACTGCACGGCTTCTCAAAGGCAGGCACCACCTTTTCACTGATTTCTAACTCAGTTACAGTAACTTATTTGCTTCGTGTGCCTGCATCTCACCACCTCCAGAAGCTACTATCTCCTCACAGTGTAAATCATTCTAAGTCCTGGTTACTCCTGACCATTTTTAATGATCTGGGGCCTTCAGCTATTGTGTTCTCTATAGATCTGTTGGCCTTCACTGCAGTCATTTAGTCGATGAAAGCAGCTGAGAAATTATGTTCATGAATGTGCATTATACACCTGGGCAGTGCGGTGGCTCTGTGGCTAAGGATCTGTGGCCGGAAGGTTGCCGGTTCATATCCCGCGGCCGGCAGAGGAATCCTACTCCGTTGGGCCCCTGAGCAAGGCCCTTAACCCCAGCTGCTCCAGGGGC